CAAGCTGTCACAGAGACACCACCGTATTCACTACTTCCCAAGTCGCTCTGATTGGCCCTTCCTTGCTTTGGTCTTTTTATGTTTCTTTTACGGGAATTCTGAATAAAATGTGGAATATTAAAGCGCAGTTCGTCATTTTCTTCACCATTCAATTCGCATCACCAAAATGACAACTTATGGCATGGCATTAGGCGGCAAACGGAGAACGGGATTGGATTCTCAGGGGGAGGGGAGAAGTTGAAGTGATTTTTCAAAGCTTGTGTGTGCGATCGTCAGTTAGGTTCTGCTGAAGAGATTTCAGGGATTAAAATTATGATGTCTTCAGGACTGTAAGAGGATTAGTGTACTTTGATGCAGTAATCATGTCTTCAACGAAAGACGTGCTACTAAGCAATCCCTTAATCCTTGTCCAGAACCATTAAGTGGTCTTGGTGATAGCTGAGATAGTTGGATCTAGCGTCTTTAAGTAAATCTGCCTGGATGATATTTCGAATGGAAGCCTGAATTAAACGTTAGAGAGGGCATCGGCAAAATTTTCTCAACAAATACCTGGTGAATATGCCTCATCGATCCTCTGAGCAGATCACAATGTTTTGCATTTGAACGAATTTACGTTTGAACTGCTTACCATCTATTTCAATGGAAATGTGTTTGGTTTGCTCACAGTTGATAACACTCAAGCTCTCAGTGAAAATGAGCCTAAGACGTCAGACACGGTTTCGGCACATACATTTCTCTCGCAGGCTTCGCGGCGATGCTCCAGCATTTCACATACTTTTCAATTTGCCTGTCATCACTGATCGAAATATAGATGCGTTTATCGATTATAAAATGAGGCCATTTGCGGAAATACCCAGAAACGGCTTGAATATTTAGTGAGACTAGACTTTTAGAGGAAAATAGAATCTGAGTCTCGAAATTAGTATTGAAGCTGATTTTGTACTCATACACCAAATACGTTAATCTCACTTATTCAGCTCGGTTGTTCGGTTGCTACCGCACTACTGAAGACAAATACCAGCTGTTAGAAGTTCGAGTCAAGACATTACTTATATGATACACTCTAACTTGTTATACAAACGAGTCACGAGGAACAACAGGCTATTATATGGTTTAAAATTCGATTTGAACTTTATGAACCTTGTCTGATTTATTCACGATGTTACATTAATCAGTAAGGTGTCAGTCAAATAGTTCCAATCACCAAATGGCTGCAGCGAATGTTCGTCGAAAATTAGCTGTGTCCCGTTGACTTCATTTGGGTGAAACACAAATTGGACATTTCATATGGACAGGCTAAAATATGATAAAGTGGCATAGCTGACCCATAAAAAAGATATCGAGTGTCAGCTTGATGCCCACTAGCGACTAGTGGAGAAGCGTTTATATCGATGAAGCTTGCAAAGACGTCTTCCAATCCGCCATGGGTTACGGAGAACACCTAAGGCTCTCAAGTTCCAAGAGAACCAGGCTA